AAGAATCACTGTTCTAGAGGGTACGTAGTAATGAACGATTCTGAATGGAAGGCGATAGCTCCACATAACCGTTTTCTTTTCCAAGACTTACCCTAACCTTCGTTGCAGATTTGCCAGCACCAGATGACGGCGGTGCAGGCGGTGGGTCGCTGCATGGGCTGGCAGCTGCTGGCCAGCAGCTCGCACCTGGGCTCGGGCCCGGTGGAGCCCCTCGGGAACGCCTCCTCCTGTTTACTGGCGTCGCCTAATGGTAAGGAACGTCATCAGACCATCTGGGGTCGATGCGGTGGTTTTTATATTCCACGCTATACTCATGCTCCCAAGATATTTTACCCTGCTGCTTATCTGATAAACTATTTATTTGGCAACTTTTTTGAATCAATATCCCAACTTCTATTAGTACCCCAATTTGGCTTCTGTATCATCCATCACAGATTTTAATATTCTTTTATTATTGCAATTTAGCTTCTTTATTATTATAATTTTTTTTTGTTCCATACAATGTCAATGTTATTTTTGCAACAATGATAAGCAATATGAATAATGCATCACGAGTTCATGACCGCCATTTTGAAGTCGCGTCATAGTATCGATTGCCATTGTCACCATTGTGGTCAATAAACTTCTCTAATGTTTACTTGGTAGTGTACTCACCACCAAGTAAATATACTACAAGTACCTTCTGGTACTGGTTATACTCTTTGTGAAGCTATTTCTTAAGTAATTTTTGGTTTAACGAANTTAAGTTATTAACATATGAATTTGTTTCATTTCAGGTGATAGAATGATAGCAATAAGGTGTGAGCCATCTGTCGGCATCCAAGTTTTCATAGCACAATCTCCAAGAAAAGACTTCTTCTCCAGTGAATTAGTACAAGATAAAAAATGGGAGAATCTCGGTGGAGCCTTCAAAGAAATCAAACTTGACAAAATGGAAGGCAAAAACTTCCTGAACAAAATGGAACTACTCATGGCATGCCTAAGCAGCCCTTCCTAAAGCAATCTTAGAGTAACCTAGCAATAAGTAAAATAAATTATTTGTAATCGATCATTTTGTATCAGCAATAAAACATGATTGAAGTAATAATATATTTTAATTATAAAGGAAACTTAGCAATAATTATTTAGGTAAAATGTTAAATAACCACTGAAGATTGTTCATAAATTCTTCTCAATGAATTATTTGACTCGAGACCTTTAAATGCCATGGAATCTGAAACGAAAATTCTAAATTAACATTTAAAAAGAGAAAGCCTGGTTTCCATCATTATCATGGATAGACCAGTGTCATTCCTACCTAACTAAATTAGGCCAATAAATTAATCCTTGTCATATACAAAGAAAAGAGTGGTATTTTTTTTCCAAAAAGCTATTTATTGATGATGAAAATACATGCATCAAGTAATCGTATGATATTACATACTAAAGAGTATTTTGCATCTAACTTCCTTAATTAAAAATTAAAACAGTAATAAGCACATAATTTTCAGTACTACCTGCATCTTTCCTCTTGCAAATTATTATTTGCTTAGAGACCTATATTGATCAAAATTGTGATTACAACTGTTTTAGATTTTTTAGTAAGGGGAAATCTAAGCATATTGTAAAACACTAGGCAACCATAATACACAAGAGTTGCAGCTAGTGGTATTCGAATGGACATAAACACACAAGCTTGACACCACTTCTGCACCCCTTGTGACTGTTCTCATGTTTACGCTTGTAATTAATTCATTTCTATCAAAGTTAGGAAGCATTTTGATTGTCACTTTTTACATATCTCTAATTCAACCTCAAGATCACAGCTACTTCAAGAACTTCAGAGTACACATTTGATATCTGTGTAAGATAATGAAAATGTCACAAGGAGTGCAAATATGAGCATTAACTAAATCTAAAATAGAAAATAAAAGCATTACCTCTAACTCCGAGACAATAGTAGAACTCTTCCCAGCATTAAACCCTCCAGTGTTATCAAACATTGAATTTTAACACTTGGAAGGCTTCAGATTACGATAACACTAACCTAACTAATATCTATGACTAAATTAAAATCGAGAGATGGGCGATCGCGATCTGAAGTTGCCACCACCACCACCGTTGCCCGACCCGTAACCCTGTCCGTTGCGATTGTAGGGGCGGCCGCCTCCGTAGGAGTTGAAGGGCCGGTTGTTGCCGCCCGGGCCGCCGAAGGAGCGTCCCCTGAAGCTGCCGCCGCCGCCGCCACCGCCGCCGCCGCCCCCGCGCCCGCCTCTGAAGTTACCGTTCCTACGCGCGCCCTCCCGTTTTCTCGAGAGCTCCACTTTTAAGGTCGCGCCTAGCATTTCGAAGCCGTTCATAGCACTACACGCATCTTCCGCCTCCTGCATGTTCTCAAATTCTATGAAAGCAAACCCAGGGGGGTTTAGCGCCACCCAAACTGAGTTCAGTTTGCCATATTTGTCAAATTCCCTTTCGAGATCTTCCTTTTTGATTCCTTCTACGAGCCCACCGACATACACGCGTGTTCCTCCGGAACTCATCTTGGATTNTTGTTTTTGATGGGATAGAATTTACAGCAGAATTATACACGATTATATTTTTTTTTATAAAATATTGAAAATTGTGACTTTATGTTTATGTGACTGAGGATGTTAATAAAATGAAATATTTATAAAATAATCGCAGTTATTTTCATTACATAATAAGTTTTGTTTATTTATTAGGAAATAAACAATTTTATAATGCATTCAGAAAAAACTTAAAATTACTTAAAAACTAAACTTTAATAATAATTTATAATAAACTGAAAAAGAGATGTCCCAATTCAATGCCCCGATTGCGCTAATTTTTAACGTCTCCAATCATTGGCGCTTCTTCTCCAGTTGCACTCCGTTTTTCATTCCAGCTGAGGTGCAAATTCGGTATCGCGGTAAAGTTCAGGCGCAAACAAAAACAAAACAACGGATTTAATCACTTTCCATTAAAAGTCCTAAAACCTAATTTTTTCACTAAAACACAGGCGTTTGATTTGCGTTTGAGAAAAAGCAGCTTTCTTTCAGCTTTTACACAAAGAAGCAGTTGCGTTTTGTTTTCGTTTAAACTAGCTGTCAAAGCGACACCGCGATACGAATTTATGATTTTAGTTCGTCGTCTAGTCGCGTTAATTTCTTTACAATTGCTTCCATTGTAAAGAAATCGGATAATAAAGGTATATTAGTAGCCCTTTGTTTCGTAGGTGTATAGTACAAGTTCTGGGCCAAGCTTCCATTCACTTTGGGACATCACCTTTAATATTGAATTTACGTTTTTTATTCTTAAACTTTTAGTAAAATGAAAAACCACTAAAAATTTTAAAACTCAAATAACCAACAACATATACATGATAATTCAGCAAAATACATTTGATATGTAAATAATTCGAAAAAAGTTTCTACAAAGCTACCATCATTAAATTCCATTTTACTGCTGAAATTTGCACTTTAGAAATGGTAGTATTTAACTGCAATACTGTATACTAAAAAAACCCGAATTCCAAGCAAAAATACTGATCGCATAGTAACTATTATTAAAGAACGTTACAAAATCACTGTAACTGTTACAACCCTATTTAAGAGTGAATGAACAACAGAATGACATTTATCAGTGTTGCTATTAGTAAATAATTATGAACAAGGCACGAAAGAAATAAATATTAATAAAAATTTCATAATTTATTTGAATTATGTAATTTTCCCGGTATTTATAAATTCAAATATTTATTTTGTTATTTTNCTTGGATTTTCTGAAATCTAAATGAAAACCTTGTTTTACCTAGAGGTCATGAAGCTGCGTTTCTACGCGATAAGACGTATAGTTCCTAACCTCAAAATAGATGTAAAAAAATAATGTGCGCATCAAAAGCATCATGAGAAGTATAAATAATTAGATACAAGGAACAGAATAAAACAAAATGTCGTCTGATGCCACGACAACGTCTAAGGATTTTCGCGGTTATTACGATTTAATACAAGAGGTACTTACGTGTTTTGATGTATTTTGATTTAAACTGATAAATTGCACTAGATTTACTAAGGTTTAATCCTTATTTCTTCATGTATTCTAAAATAAATTTTAACACATGTAGGATGAAACAAATCGATGAGATTTTTGAATGAATGAACGAATGACCGGTTTGCGGCTGCGTGACTGATGATTGAAGAGGAATAAGGTTGGGACGTAGTGTAGTAATTTGAATGTTCAATATGTACCACATTATTTATTTTCACTAGATAAAAAGTAACATACTTTGTTTTATATTCAGCTTGATATATTATGAACAATCTGCGATATAGATTATTCAAAGTTGTAGTTCTTTACGAATTCATTAAAACATAAATAAAGACCATGCAAAAAAAACTATACCTATAAAAAACAGACTTATTTTTGTAAGACGAACATTATTATATAATATGGTCTTTTTGTAAAAACTATATACAATTTACAGCAGAATTATACACTATTATATTTTTTTTATAAAATATTGAAAATTGTGACTTTATGTGACTGAGGATGTTAATAAAATGAAATACTGATCGCATAGTAACTATTATTAAAGAACGTTACAAAATCACTGTAACTGTTACAACCCTATTTAAGAGTGAATGAACAACAGAATGACATTTATCAGTGTTGCTATTAGTAAATAATTATGAACAAGGCACGAAAAAAATAAATATTAATAAAAATTTCATAATTAATTGGAATTATGTAATTTTCCCGGTATTTATAAATTCAAATATTTATTTTGTTATTTTCATATCATGCAGTAATAAAACATTGTATATTATTTGAAACGGAAATATCACTGAATGAAAGAACGAAATATATGTTTCATTCATGTGTGAGTCTATTCGTGAATGTCTGATTATGTTTGTGTGTGTTTAGAAAGGAAGTGAGGTCATTGGAAACTCGGAAGGGAGGAGGCTTTGAACCAAGTGGGGTGGGGAGGGAGGGTAGGGAGGAGGGAGAGGAAACTACTACACGAAACCGGCCAAACTACTTCGTTCAACGGTCGCGCGGCAGCGCGCATTTTTGCTTGTTTTCTTTCCAATAGCCCCACCTTTGTTTCGTTATGAATTGTTTTTATACCGATTGTCTAATAGAAAAATATTCGCCGGTTGAGTTATTAGAAAATAATGTACCGGTACGTTCAGTATTTCATTCGTACGAAATACCTGTGAGTGTGGATAGGTGTTAAAATAGGTTGCAGGCAATCCTTAGGAAAAGTGAAATGAATATTTTTGTGTTTAGTTAGTGAATAATGGAGTGTTGTAAAGACATGGGGGTTCAGAAGCGGCACAGTCAGTTCAGTGACACGAAGTACAAGTGGAGGACCGTGTTTGTGTTTTTGTGGTGCGCGAGTGGTTGTGTGGGACAGGAGTTGATGGGTGTTGGCGAGGCAGATCCCTACTTGCTGAACAAGTCGTTGGGGCTGACGGAGTTGCCGGGCGGCGTGATCGCCGGCGGGCGGACGTTGTGGAAGGCCGACAGCAGCCCGTATCTCCTCCGGGACGACCTGCTGGTGGAAAGAGATGCGGAGCTGGTCATCGAGCCCGGCGTGGAGGTGCGGTTTGCGCCGATGGTCGGGATCACAGTTCGCGGGAAGCTACTGGCTGTGGTATGAGTTTGTTTTTAATAATCTAACCTTTACGTTATTAGTTAGACCCATTGCTATTTTAGTAGATAGAATCGCTGTAATCTTAATCTTAAATCTTAAAACAACGGCTCAAAGTACTTAGTATGCAAACGTAGTTAGAATTAATTGCTTCAATCATTACGTTGAAATAGCTCCTATAGTAACGCATTATTCAATAGGATTCTGATTAGAAAATTCCCAGCAACAAGATGAATCCAACAGAAAACAAACAATCTGTAATAAAGCTGTATTGTGGTTCATTTATCACTTTCATGTTTTATTTTAGTTAGTTCTGAACTTTATTAAAAAAAACAATCTAGAAAAATTCGATGTTATGATGTTACCTTACTCGTACAATAAGTTAAGACGATACACGACGACTGTCTTCAACGAAACGAAACTTGTCGAAAAAACCCAGTTAAGCTTCTCACGGTCATTATCCCATCCAGGGTTTCTTATTAGAAAAAACAGGATTACATTCCTTACAGCTAAGGGTAGTAGCCCTACTATTATTAACCATGATTTACGACGAAGATGGATTATTACCATTTAGATGCATGGTGTCTGCAGGTGTTCAATCATGGGTTCAGATTATCCTCAAAAATACATTTCAAGCCTGTGTATTATCTTAATTTTACGCAGAAGAATGAATCCATTTTGGTTATATCCACATTATGATCACAGAACTTCTTTAGCACCCAAAAAGGAGCTATACAATTCCTTGTAGTAACTACAATCAAATGGAAGTGACAAGCGATGAATCAAATAATTACGAATTCGATTGAGAAAAATCCGAATGAAAGATGTTCCGGGTCGTAATATTTATTTACGCCGTTAGTCGTTAATAAAAATAAAGGTAATAAGTTCAAATAAATAGGACAGCACACATCACTTGTGTACTTAGCTTTCCCTTTTGTCGATAGCAAACATTAGATAAACGCACGCCTTTGATAATGCCTGATAACAGTATCGAAATCATTGAGCCATGATATTGATTTATTCACCTGCTGGAGTACGGCAAATATTAATACACATTACGAAAGCAAATATCGGAAATAGAGCATGGCGCGCAAACGCGGAGTCACACCGGTTTTGTAGTGCTCTTACAGGTTCTAGGAAAATACTGAAGTTACCAACGATATCGTCACGAGAGTATCGTCACTGTGTGATATGATACAGTCATAATGTAAATATTATGAAATACTTTACATTTAAGTCTTATTTTGGACACTTGAATAAATATTAAACACGAGCTAACCAGAGATCATTTAGACATGACAAAACGTTTGTAGTATGGATTGATCTTGATTGATGATCTCACTCAGGAGTTTTAAGGTAGAAACAGATATTAGAATATACTAAAATCGCTTTTTGAGAAGCAGGCAGAGTGTCCTTTTCCTACATAATATACAGAATATATTATTCTGTATATTATGTAGGAAAAGGACACTCTGCAAAACATAGACGGGCTAAATCTGATACATAATCTGATAAGATTAGAAATTAACTTCCGTAAAACTGTGCTTCTAAAAACATTACAGTTAATTGGCGAGCTGTTATACCTCTTTAATGATGGTCTGTAATGAGTATGTAGTTGACAAACAAAAACCAAAAGGGGATGAAATGAAAAGAAAGAAGCCGTTAATCATAATTTACGTCAGGATAATCATCAAAGCCTCTTTACAAATCACTTTTGGACGCCATGAATCATAAATTACGAGATGCACGTGTTAATGAAGCCAGCTGGGACAAAGGCGCCGTGTCCTGACCCGGCGACCCTGCATCGTTAGGCCAATCAGCACGCTCAAATCACAAGGAGACCCGGGAAGACAGCTGACGACCGACTTCCTGAGGGAAGTGATCTGGACTAATAGGAGCGGATGAATCGCTTGCGAATAGGCTGAGACTAGAAACTGAGAACCAGTTCAAGATGATTCAAGATGCAATAGAACTGTAAAATATGAAACAGTAAATAATTAAAGAATTTCGTGAAAGACGATTTTCGAATTACTCCAATCTTAGTTCGAATTACACATTGTAGGCCATAGGCCAGGGGTCTTAATTCGAGTTACACATTGTAGGATTTGTAGGCCATAGGCCCATAATAATATTTTCAAAGTAGGTACTTATATTCAAAAAACCTTACAGTGAAAGTTGGTAGGTTACCTAGATTTCAAAATGAATTTTAGCATTAGTTGGGTAACTACCGAATAATGTTAAAGGATTACAACAACAAAGATGCATTTACGTACTTTCATCTAGACTTGTATTTTCTATTGCATGTGCTTTCACTTAGTATTCAACTGTATTTTGACATCACCTCATCTCGTAAATGGTAATGTCTGTCTGACGCCATCATTGCGTAGGTCTTTTGAAGTAATATCCTATAATGAATGTTCGTTATTAAAATAGCTGGCATTTATTTAGTTTAAGTCCTCATTTCTTATAATACTACAGTAAGGGTTAAAGAAGATAATTAATACCTAGGTACTACCAATAACCAGTTACAACTACAAGGGATGTTCGCTGCATTTCTTTTTAGTCTTTGCACAAGAAAAGATGAAGATCCTTATGAAGAATGGGGCTACAGTTGGAAAAAGTTATTTTGCGTGTTGTTGTGCCCATGCGAGTTTAGGAATTGGTAGATTATTTACTTCGAATATTGTATCAGTTAAGACAATGAATAATTTCAGTTTGTACGTTTGTACGTAAAAAGACCACAAACAAATGGACCGAACGTGACAAATTGCAAGCGGACACTGCGGTCGCTTTCACTACAAAATTGAGATGAGCAATTTTATTGCAAATTGTGGCCAACAAAAATGAATCTGAAAACACGCGATGTTGATGTCAAACCTTGTCCACCAGCTTTTGCACAAATGATGCTATCATTCAGTTTTAGATAATCAGCATTGTTGTGACATTAAATTACACGAGATTATCCCCTAACTGAAAAAGTGCGACCTAAAGAAATGAAAGAAAAAGTGAAAAAAGGGCACCGGGCACACGCACTGTTGAATTAGGATCGCTATCAAAATTATGTCAAGATCTGTAAACATTGATAACGTGTGTGCCGACGATAGTGGCAACCTAAGCAAGCAACGCATCTTTACACACGTCTCTGTCTTTTCCGAGATGTTGGACAAGGTAGGATAGAACGGGAATGCACCTGGCAGGAAGATACTCAAAGTTCATATCCAGCTGCTCATTACGGAATTACTTAGATACAGTTAGGAGTTGCGGTCGACTGACCCTCGTTGTCTAACGAACCATATTTCTCAACCTTGAGTGTTCAACTGTCGTCGTGAGTCATCTGAAATTAGAGTTGCAGTTAATGTTCTGTTTTCTCATAGTTAACGGCATTATTTCCTGGAAACATTATTGTTTATTTACAAATAGCTCAACAATGGTTGGTCAGTTTCATATCACTGGGGATGTGGCTAAAGTCATGACAGGAATTTAATGGCATATGTACCATTGCTACCATCACTACCAAACAAATGTAACAGTAATTGCTAATATTGTACCATGGATTAATAGACCTATATTAATCCATGTTGGTATTGACATAACATGCCTCAAGTCTAGCAAGAGAAACAAATATGGAATTACCACCTACTTTCAATGTCACGCATCACCAGCGATATGTGAATGAGTCAGGCCGAATGAATCACAGAATCTCAAGCACTTCTATTCTAGGTGGATATTTTCTATAATTTCATTATTGTTATAGTCGCATTTTGTTTTTATTTGTATTCTCTGTTCTCTTACTGGTAGATCGAAAAGAAGTTTTATCTACCACGTACAAAGTAAATAGCTTGTGCCTAGTGAATAAGTTGCATTAACATAATGCTCATAATGGCCTGAAGACCTACATAACTCACGCATGTATTATTATTTTCTGGGCCAACATTTTCCGATGTAGCGAATCATACCCATAATAGGCTAAGCAATATTTTAATTTATAATTGTAATATTATGTTAATTTGTATCCTTCCTTATGTCTTGTTATTAGTTGAGATTATAAATTAATATTTCCATGCGTCAATAGTTCTGGTTTTCCTCTAGATTGATTCCATGTTTGTTCTCGTTTTTGTTCGTACGAATGAGTCATTGATACTGTAAATGCCAATAAACTGTATAAATTTATATTATTATGTAATTATAACGCAAATTCATCAGACAGCACGTAAATTACGCCCGCCACATTTTTCTCGGAAATCGCTATACTTATACCAAAAATATAGCACTTGTTGATGGAGTATTTGGAAAACTTTGTTAATCCCTAAAAAGGGGACCTTATGTCGGTTTATGTTAGACCTTAAATGAGGTCTGACACTAAAAGATCTCGAGTATTCAACGGTTGTTTGTTACAACCGCTCGATAGAAAAGGATATAAAGGACGGCATGTTTAAGGATGTAATAATCAGAATTAGCTTCTTTGACGTTACTTAAGTATACTTAGCATTAGGTCATTGCCTCGCTACTACATAAAAATGGCACTGCGGTGAATCACACTCATTAACATAATATGATATTTAATTTTGTACATTGATTCATGTCACATGATAACTTTAACGTTGGTGCTTCCGTTACTGGGCTTTGTTTGGCGTTCTTATCATAATGGGAATTGGTCCTGCATGTGATTCCCCGATACTTGCCATGAGAGTAGGCACAAACTAGTACTTTCAGCGAACACGTTTTCATTTGTGCCATAAGTAGTTAATTAAACAAGTAAACTACAGTTACTCATTATTATCCATATTAGATAAGCGCCACACATATTACCAGAGCCTCCTTTACTGTACATTTATCCTGTTAGATCATAATCTAAGAATGGCATTCCGATCTAATAAGTTTTCTCAATCACAGCTATTACCGTCAAGTTAATATGACCTTTATCTGTATTACAATACAGTACACAATAATTATTCTCCTGAACCGAAGCTGCGCCTGAGTTCGGCGTTGAAGTGGCGCTATCG